GGAGGTATTTAGAAGATGAGTAGACGTAGTGATTAGAGATACGGTTTTGTGATTGTTTTTGTCAGTGTTAGGTTGATGGTCAGACTTGATGATCTGAAAGGTCTCTTCCAATCTAGCCAATTCTATGAATCTAGGATTCATTTATGTTAACCAGTATTTACCTCTGGCATTGGTGGAATTCACCCATGAAATCAATCAGGCCAAAAGTGTAAACTTAAGCCCCACTGCAACCAGGTTACTGTATTCCTACAGAACACATTTAATTTCATCTCAGCTTTCATATGAATGTCTTTATTACCCATCCTGTGGGGTCTTGATGTAGTCTTCACCTGAAACATAAAGAATACAGTGCCTGTTGCCCGGAGCAGCACACTTTGCTGCCTCTCTGTCCTGGGTGCAGTATTTTTAATACAAATATGTATTTGAAATCACAGCTGACCTACCCTGATCTTCTGGATCTGGAAAAGCAAACCAGTACTCTGCCTGTTCTGTTATCATACATGTCATTCCAAAAGGCAATCAGTGGAGAAATATTGGCTCATCACCCTCACTGGCTCATTTTGTCTGTTCTCCATCTTCCTCCCTTTAAACCATTCCCAGTATGACTGCATTGCCCCACAAATGTGAGTGACAGGGCTGTTGATAGAAACGCCTATCATTGTTTGCTTTTTTCCTTACATTAACACTTTTTGACATCCTTTGACACATTCAGGTTTGATAACATCCCTGAATACACTCTCTGACATCCTTCATGTAACTGGCTCTATTGGTGAAACGCTGTGAGCTATGTAAGATCCTGATACTCCAAATTAAGTTGCCACAAGTGCGATGGTCGAGTAGCAGTGCCATGCTGAATCTGCATTAAGCTTTGTATAGGTAACAATGTAGTGTGTACTATGTTATTTCTTCCTTCTATCTTTGTCATTTCTTCAAGGGATTCAGTGGCGGAGAGGACTGGAACACTTTCTAGGCAGGTACTTAATTTAGTCTCTGAATTGGGGGCAGGAAGAGGTCAGAACCCCATAGAATCCAATCCCATAGTGTAGGAAGGGCAATTCAGTGTTACAGATAAGGGGGCACCCGCCAAATCAAAAATTAGCCACTGCAGAAAATGTGTTTCAGCATGTACAACTGTAAGTATTTAAAGAACGTAGAATACTACTACTGTCACTCAAAACCAGCTTTGAAAGGAACTCTATATAAATTACTCACATCAAGTGTTGGGGTTTTTAAAGTTTTGGTGCATTGGTGAATTCATTTGATTTGTTATTCATATAATGATCTGGCTTTATCTATTAGCGTTGATTTTTAGATCAAAAATCTAGTGTCATCTACTGTATCTAAATATTTAAAATAAAGGTAGGTGATTATTATAAAAATCACAATAATGAAAAACATGAAGTAAACCTGTAGCTTTGCTAATGAATTTACTTATGGAGATGTTATTGTAAGGATTTTGAGTAAGTCATTAATAAGTAATATTCAGTGTCCTTGTCTTATAACCTGGCAATATACTCGTGTTTTGTTACGATCCTTTGGTAAAGGAGCTGCAGGCTTCTCGCAAGGATGCGGAAACATCCAGTAGTGTAAGTGAGCAATGAGTTTTTGGTTCAAGGCTCCTTTACAGAAGACAGAATCTAATCTTACGTAAAAATCATATGCCAAAACATGTAGTATTATCCAACTAACTGACTGTGTAATGTAAAATCATCTTTGGTCTTTTCAGTTTAGTTTAAAGTGAGATGCATACACAAAAAGACCTAAATTGATCTGAAAGCTTACTAATGGCAAATTAAACACATTCTAAGCATTCTGACTTCTTGAAGAGCAAAGGCTCTTTTTCTTTAAATAGTTCAATAACCTTGTTTAGTTATGTAGCATCGTAAGTTTCTGCATGTTCATGCATTAACTTCACATTGAATTAGCTGGATTATAAGTGAACAATTTCTCCTGTATCTGTACATATAAAACTTTCTGCAGATTATACTTGTTATAGAAGAGTCATTTCATTTGGTGATTTCTCTACATGTCCTGAAAACTGCTTTGCATACAAATACTGCAAAGCATCTGCTTCTAGTTTTATTTTCACAGGTAGAAAAAAGGTGCAACTCCATGAAGGTCTACAGAATTATAATGGTGAATAAACTGGTACTAGGAAAATTCAAAGCCAGGTGTGGCTATTTATCAGGAAAGCTCTCTCTGGTCAGACAGGATATGATCCCAGTTACACTGAAGTAGTTCAGAGAATGTGGAATACTGTAAGCATTTTTTTTCTCAATAAAACAGCACCTTTACTGGACTCGGATGTGTGTACACTAAATTTGTAAACTAAATCTTTGCTTCAGCGGTTGAGACTGCTGAGTAAATGGGTCTCATAAGATCCTATTGTTAATTTACAATTTTCATATGCAAGACTTAAGAATGTGATAGCTTGAGACACTCACCAGCCCTGTATAGCAGTAAAATGTAGTGCCTGCAATTTAAGACTACTTTTATTGTGTACTGTGTTTACATCTTTCCTTAGGATGCTGAACACTGAACAGTTAGTGGTTTTATATTGCTTAGCAGACATATAGCCTCTGTCACCTATTTTGAAGAGAATACTTTGGGATGGAAGGTACTGTTATTGAATAGGAAACAAGAAAATTGGTTCTCTTATAGGTTATGCCAAAATTGTTTTGAGAGATATGTCACTTTATCCTCTGGTATTTATGCTTAAAGGCTTAAGACATCTATCATATAACTTGGTGAATTTAGATTATCCAGTGCCAAAGTGATGGACCTCACCAAGAAGAAATCAGGATACTGTTTGTTGTTAATTTTGCACTAGTATTTATTCTTGTGTCTCTGGTGATATAATCATATTGATTAAAATAATAATAAAGGTAGTATAGTCATATGGTTTCTGTTTTACATGGCACCCCTGTTTTCCAAATTTCTGGTGCAGTACTCTTTGAATTTTAGTTGTCAGATCAGGGGAATAAAGAGTCTTCTTTAAATATGCCAAACAATTAAGTATTTAATGTTTGCAACTCTCTGAAAATCTAGCTTGAGACATCATAATCACCTATTGATCTGTCTGTAGAGCACAGGCAGACACAATCATTTCTTGGAGAATTTGCTTGTCATGGTCAATTGATTCTAATTTCTGTTTTATTTTGTAAAAGAACATTAAAATAGCTGTTCACTGGAGAAACACCCCCTGCATCTTTTTTTAAATTAATAGATGGTGTCATCATCTCAACTAACGTTAGCCACCTAAAAGACAGGCAGCTACTGTCGGTAATGGTCTAGTCCACAGAGAACAGCAAGTACTTCCAAAATCTTTCCTCCATCCTAAAAGAGGCACCAGAAGAGACTGGAGGAGTTGTTCCAAACTAGATGTCAAATTTCCCATGTAATCAATGGAAAGAGACAAACACCCTGAATATGGAAGAAATGGAAGCAGGTAGCTGATAACCACAGACCTCAGTTTTGGATGATAAAGAGAAAAGAAATAGATTGTAGCTTGTGGGAAGGAAAGATGTTTTTTAATTCTGTAAAATGTTTTACCTGAACAGATTGCTACAGGAAAACTTAAATTTAATGAGAATCTGACCTTATCATTTTAAATTGTAATGGAGAACATTTTTTTCCCCTCTAACTTTTGTTTTCTGTTCTTTTGAGAACAGCACTGGAAAAGTTATAAATTTGGAACAGTGCTGCTGTTGTATTATGACCAGCTGTAGGGTTAATTAATTCTATCTTCAGGATCTAAATAGAAATTTCATATCATACCATCTTGAAGGCTTTAATCATGTAAGAAAAAAAATAAAATTCTTCCTTCTTTTCTAAATTTTATGTAACTTAGAAAACATCTTCATAACCAGTATGTGACAGTGGCCTTTTTCTTATTGTCTGTACCTATACCATAGTATACTGTCATCGTGATAAACATATATACTTAGTTGGGAGGATAAACTAAAAAATAACTCTCTTTCTACAGTGGTATGATCGAAAAAGTCATTCAGCAAGACCTTCAAAAACAAAGGAAAAAATTTAAGTGTACAATGAAGGACAATAATGCGGTTTACGTCTGTATGAAATATATGGCTTCAGTAACATCAGTGATATTTTAGTATGTATGATATTTACATCTAACAAAGGATTATTTGTATTTTATTTTTTTTTCACTTAAGTGTGACCAATAAAAAAAAAAAGAATGTCTCTTCATATTGGATTAATCACTGAATTTTCCCAAATTGTCATTTCCCCCAGATAGCCATGCCATACTGCAGCAGGAGGGGTCACAGGCTCAACACAGCCCTCCAAGGAGGGCTCTGAACTGCAGACCCACCTAAAGATACAGACATGCTGGTAGCAGCTGCAGCCCAGGACTTGCTGCAGGAGTGGGGACATCCCTGTGTGAGGGATGTCACTTGCTGCGATGCAGCTTGACTCAGGAAACTTCCAGAATTAAGAAACAACAAAGTTGAGGGTCCTTTGTAATTCTATGGGGTGCTATAAGCCAGTGTCAGGAGGTGAACGCAGCTAGAAAAATGTCAGAAAATTACTGCTTAAGAGATTAAAATAAAAATAATACCATTGTAATCTAAACCAGTATCAGTATATGTGTTTGCTTTTATAGTAAGTTTTTTAAAGAATCATCAGTGTTTAGTGCTGTGAGCCCAAACTCTTGAATTTTACACTTTATACTGATATTATAATCCTGGTGGCGTTAAGCATGGCTTCTTGGCCTTTACCCCAACGATGAAATTAAACTAGTGCCCTTATCTGTCTCAAAAGACAGTGCAGAGGAATAATGAGCTCTTTTCCACTGTTGTGAATTGCCACTCTTCAAAACCTTTTTTTTTTAATTTAAAGTTGTATTAGTGAAATTGTAGTTGTATTGTGAAAAGATTACCTTACTAAAATCACTGACATCTCATTTGCCCCTCACCAAATGACACAATGAGAAAAATAATTTTATTATAAAATTTGTTGTCTTGTTTTTCAGGGCTGTGTATGCAAAGGTAAAAGTCCCTGCTTTTGCGATAGTATGAAAGGTAATAAGGTAAGAACAAATATATTTTTCCTCTTTTAAGATTAGCTTATCCCTGGAAATCATTAATATATTAGTGGAGTTGATATTGCGAGTGAATTTATTTTGTGACAGTATTCTGTCAACAGAGTCTACGAAGAATTGTAGAAGGACACACTGTTTAACTAAGAAGACTTTTAATTTATTTTTTTTTTAAACGTGTAAGTTTGTTTACAGTGTTGCATGATGTTTGAACGCCAACAGAAGTACAACTGTCCAAAGCACTAGGTCCTTTCACAAACTCCTAACAAATGCCCACAGATGCCATTACCCTGGCAGCAGCTCTCCTGTTACAGCTTTCATAATGCCATCGAGAGTGTCGTGTTCAGTGCTTCCCTCTTCCCATCTTTAGACCTTGCCCATCTCTCCCCCTTCCTTTCCCAGTTCCTGAAGGAAAGCTAAATGCACCGCTATCAAACAGATCAATCTCCTGCGGATCGAGACAGGGGATGAGTTTCTGGGTCCTAATCAGGATCCCCTTGCCAGCAGTGAGGGAACAGCACCAAATCCATCAAAAGCAGCAGAGCTGCAGCCTGGCTGTTGGCAGTAGTAGCTTGGCAGAGGCTCCGAGTGGCTTTTATACAAACCTGAATTACACAAATGCCAAAAATTCTTTCAAACTCCTGCTTGTAATTGGAAAAACAACTGATTCACAAATGAAAGGGGCATTATTAAAGAAGTCATGGTTGTCATTCAGGCTAACTGTGGACACAGTCATTGCCCTGCTGAACCTTCTCAGTAAATTCCAGATGTCTATATACACTTAGGGTTTTGATTAGTCCCACACATCTGGCCAGTAAAGAATTACTCATAACTTTCCTCCTGCACTTTTATTACCAAGAAAAGATGTCATATTTCACCACAGTAAATACTGCTAGTCTTGCCTTTAGGAAGCTTCATTTCAGTGGCAGAGAAAAGTTCTCTCAAAGTAAATATGTTCATTATTAAAACATATTTTCATAAGCAGGGAAGGAGAATACTCATGTCTTTAGTAAAATCTCGGTGCTTATTTTTCATGTTCTTAGTTGGGTTAACCTGACTTTTTCCTAGACAGCAAAATTGAGAGCACTTGAAAGATTAGAAAAAAATAAGCTGCCCACTAAAAGAGAAATATTAATTAGAATGAATACCTGTAACTTGTCTCCATCGGTTCCATGTTAAAGCAACTAAGCAATTAGTAGGAAGGAGTTAATCATTGTTTACACTGCTGAAGTTTTACAGGCAGCTTCGGAAAGTCAGAACAATGACGTTAATCAATACGTTTTGAGAACTGTTCAATGTTAAGAAATTCCCCAACTTGAGGATTCTCTGATCCTCTTTATCGAAGAAAGTGTGGCTGAAATTGCCTGTGGTGTTCGGGGGGGAGCGGAGGTGTCGGGGGAGCGCGGTGCTGAGCGGGCCTGGAGGGCGTCCCGTCCCGTCCCGTCCCGTCCCGTCCCGTCCCGTCCCTGGCTGCCGTCGGTGGAGGGTGCTCCAGGGCTTCTGGCTTCCTTTTTCCCGTGAGTTAGTGCCTCGCGCCCTCCAGCGGCACGGCTTGGGATAGCAGTATCCTTCTCTGCTTTTCTTGGGGGGGATGAAATAAATGATCTGTTGCAAAAATCTGTGCCGGTTCCTGCTACAGATATCACTGAAACTTATTAATACAATTCTTATTTTGATTTGTGTTAAAATATTCTGGGATGATATTTTATCTTTTAATATTTATTTTTTTTTAAATTCAGAATCTATTTAAAATCTGTTGAGTTTGTGGGATTTTGAGGGGCAAGAATTGGTGGAGGGACAAGCCAAGGAATTTTGACTACCCCGAGGCTTCTTTTGCATCCTATCTTGTATATCAAATAATAAGATACCAGAACTTCTGCACAGCAGATTCCAAATGCTTTTTTGTATAACTCTCCCCTGATAAAGCAATGGCAAAATTGGCTGTGAAAGAATCGATGGCTCCATCCTCTCTCTCCCATGCCACGCTGTGATGTAAAAGGTCTGGAATAGGCAGCTCTTCACTGAAGTAAAGTTGAGCGTGCTAAATTGCTGCTATCTAAAGAGCTGAAACACCTTTTCTGTTAATTTCTAGCCTTGAAGCACTTTATTTTAGCCAAGATAAGACTTGCATCATCATTATATTTAAATAAAAAACTGAAAATGCCCCTTCCATTGTAACTTACCCTCCTGTATTCTCTTCATGTAGCTTTAATCTTTTGTTTCCTTTACCAAAACTGGTTTGGTTATTTGAACTTCACCTTAAAAAACACAGGAGAAATTAATTGAGTGTCTTAATCTCTGAGAGTCAGAACAATTTATAAATTTGTTGCTTAAAGCAAACTTCTGTTATTCTATCTAGATGGTTTTGTTGCAGTTGACTCCCACTCTTTCTGTGGCTTGCATGAAGAGAGGTACTGATGATTTGGAACTGACCTTGCTGTACAGCAGCAGCCACCATTAAGTTTGCCAACTACAAATTAGGGCTGCTAGAATGGATTTGGATTTGTGTCACTTCTAGGGACTAAACATGATATAGCAATATTAACAAGGAATATATCAGCTGCTTTCTTAAACTTTTCATGCTGCCAGTTAACTTCTGTACTATGTAAAATCTTGAGTACTCTTGTCTTCTGATACCTTCAGCCATACTTATGAGTGCCTTACTGCAGTGATACCATGTGGCCTAGACAGCAGATAGGCTGGATGACAAAACAGGTCGGTATGGGCAAGGGTAACACATCTGCCACAGTAACAAACTGATCTGTAGAAGTTAAGAGGTAGTGAAAGTAATGAATGCCTTAGAAATAAGTTATCAAAAGGAGAATTTATGGGTATTTTAAGAATGTCATTCTCTTAATGTTTACAGGGTGAAAAAGGCTTTCCTGGTCTTCCAGGTCCACCTGGTCATAGAGGCTTTCCTGGTCCAGAAGGGCCTCCAGGGCCACAGGGACCAAAGGTAGGTGTGTATGTGAGGCACAAGAGACACACACAGAGAAACTACTGTGCTTGACTGTGAAAGTGAGCTCTGACTGGGTAGAGAATTCTACCCAGAGAATTAAAAAACCAAACCAAAACAAAACCTGTTTCAGAGTCTCCTATTCAGTGAGGGATGTTGTGTGCTCATCAGCAGCAATGGTCATTTTTTGATGGAGTCAAAGTAGCTGATAAGAGCATGGGCTTTTGCAGTGGCCAGTGCTAAAGCACCTGGTCTGAACTGCAAGAGGCAATGAACATGGGTCTAAATATACTTTAGCAGCATAACTCAATTTTGTCTTAACAGTATACTCTGACATGTATTGATGGTAAGAGAGAAAACAAGCTATTACTGAGACAAATAAAAGATTTAAGAAAATTTGAAGGAAAAGGTCATTGTAAAGATAGATCTTGGTCATTTTAGGAAATACCTAGTTGCCTGCAGTATGGAGAGAGTGACTTCAGTGACTTGGACTTTCTTTCTTTCCAATATGCCTAAACTGAGACCAAATATAAATTTTCAATGACTCCTGCATGAGCAGAAAAATACAAATAAATTGCTCATTAAAAACCGTTGTATTTATATTTGTCTTGAGGAACAGCACTCTTACTGTGATCAGTAAACTGACTTTGGCGAACAAATTATTTGTGTGTAAATATGGTCTGAACGCAGCCATAGTATAAATTAGGAAGGTACTGCCACAATCACATTATGTTTAGGACCTGCGCTAATGTGGCTCCAGCACTTATCCATACTTTGTACAAATAGGTTTCATAATTTTGATTTGTTTGGGTATTGTTGTATTATTCTGTCCTGTCTCATTTTTACAGTATCTTGTAGAACTGATGCTCATGGTGGATCTCATACATGTTGATGAGCCATTTATTTGAACTCACTGAAAAGTGTTTAGTAGAGCATTTCCCTTTTAATAAGTGATAATAACTTCTGCAAGAATGGCAAAAACTAAGGATAATTTCACTAGGAAGAACATCTCTGTTAGCCCGAGTGCCATCTATTGGAGTGTATTCCAGTTAGCTTTTCCTATTCAATGGCTGTACATTGTCTTAAACAAGATGTTGCCTGGGTTTTTAGGAGCTATGCAGTTCTGTACGTTCCCCATTTCCTTTCTGGGAATGATAAAAGTCTTATTATCAGTAAAGCTTGAAGTGTCTTGAACCAATTCTAGCAGGTTCTGTCTAGACTGTGCTGGGGCATGCTTTGCTGTCTTCTTTCAGCCTTGCTCTCCTTTTCTGCTTAGTCCACTTTCAGCTTGTTCCTGGCTTTCCTTTCCATGTGCAGGTGGGAGTGGCTGGTACATGCATGTACCTGGTCATTACATGGACATCACCTGTATCAGGAAGCCTTCCAGCTTTTTCCTCACAGGGAAGCACTTCCAGGTCTCACAGTTTGAACAGATCCATAGTAAATGCTTTTTCAACAAACCCTGACTGTTATTTTTTTGACCGATGATGAGATATATCCCCTGTAAAGACTGAAAGGGATGGCAAGATGCCACGATTTATGTGAGTTGTATTAAATGCTTGTTTGCTTTAGTGTCTGTAATAGTCAAATAATATATTTATTTACATAGTTTCATGTGCATGTGTTGGTATTGGTATTAAAAACATTGCATGTCCTGTTAACATACATGTGCTTTTTCTCAATTATATTGAAATATGTTGTTTTCCATTTGTGAACCAGGGTTCTCCAGGGCTCACAGGCTTAGTTGGACCCAAAGGTATACGAGTAAGTATTTCTGTTTTAAACAAACTTGTATCTTAAATGTCATGTTAAATGCCAGCCTGGTTCAATACTCTGTGAAAAATAGAACCAAAACATTATATATGATTTTAAAGTATTTTTAAAATTTGTGACCCAGAGTATGCACATGCATTATCTGCTTTTTAGAACTTTTGCCTTTTTTGCTGCGCCTTATGTACAAGATTCATGCTGTATGTATTTAGTATTGGAGTGTGCTATGAAAAAGTCAGATTCCATGAAGAGATGTTTTGTTGGTTTTTTTTCTGTGGGCAAAACCAGTCTATGTTAACAGTGCATAAACTGCCATTAGCCTTGGTTCAAAGACATAAGGGTTAGAGGAAATAATGATCGTTTGATAGAATCATACTTGCATTCATTCTTCTTATTAATACGATCAAAGAAAAATTGCATCATGAGCTTTTGCTTAATATTTGTAATATTATTCTTCTGTTTTTATATCATCAGGGAGTCCCAGGATTACCTGGATTTTCAGGTCCCCCAGGCCTTCCAGTAAGTAAAACTGACACCAATTTAACCATTTTGCTTTTAGTATGGTCTTCAGTACACAACCATCCTCAGCCAAATGTGCTCACGCTAGTCTAAATGTCAGCATTGTCCCCGTCAATTAGCTTAGAGATAAAAATCTTAGCATCAGCAATTCTTACTCATTGTAATGATTTAAGAACACATTGTAATCTGTCAAGTCTTGTGAAACACTGCTCCAACATAAACTCTTTCAGTGTTGCTGTAGGGTAATATGAATGTGCAAAAACAAAGCTTGTGTCAATTTTGCGCTTCTTTTTAGGGTGAACCGGGAACTGCTGGTCCTCCTGGGCGCTCGGGTGTTCCAGGGTGCAACGGCACGAAGGTACAGATAAACAGAATCTTACAGAGATTGTGTTTGGCTATGCTTAGGAATGGCCAAAAAGCATTCTGAATTTTTCCCTCAATATACAACAAGTTTTTATCAAGTATGAAAAATTTGAATCATGAGGCCAGAGAAAGGAAAAGTGCTGCCTTTTTGTGTAAGATAGACAGCTAAATAATGTATGCTAATGGCTTCTGCTAAAAAGTTAAGATCGTTATTTGATATTTTGACAGATAAAACTTTTTTCATTAAATCCAGGAGACCTAACTAGTTTTGTCCAGCCTGTCCTTCTGTTGAAATAGAAGACATAGATACTTAATTTTATTTTACCAGTATCTAGCTTGCAGTTGAAAATTCATAAATCCTGAAATCGGTTAAAAGGCTTAATGTGAAGCTGCAGGTTTACTAGTTTTCCTTTGCGCTATGAGCAAGTGCTTCCAGCATCCTGAAAGAGGGAGTCAGAAGAATGCTTACTATAGAAAATCATACATTTCTAGTGAAACAGCGAACTGATCTGACGTAGGTAATAAAACGTGGTGGCTGAGACAGAAGTCAAGACCCATAGGGTGTGGCTGTGCCCCTTTTACCAAATATGGTGGTAATACAACTCACAATTTTAGTATGATAACATAAAAAAGCTTCTTTTGTAATCACATTTTCTAAAATCAGACCAAATAATAAACAATAATATGCATTAACAGTCACTCTTGCTGCTTTCAGGGTGATCAAGGTTTTCCAGGTCCTCCAGGTAGAAGAGGGGCTCCGGGCATTCCAGTAGGTGTCTGAATTTCATGATTGTGTACATTTCTACCACATAAAGCTGTTTACTTGAAGGAGTAGAAAGTCTCACATTGGCTGGTATTGACAACAGTTGAAATATGTAGGTATTTCCATTTTATTAATATGAAAACTCTGTGGTGAAGAAACCAAAGTTAAAAGTAATGCTTAATTGACTGCCCACTTCATGCACCTCAACTTCTTAGTTAATGAGTGCATGCAAATTCACTGACTGGTGTTAGCTCTTTACTATCTCAAGGAATACTCAGGAAAATTTGCCACTTGCATCTCTAAAGGTGTCCTACGTCTATTTAATAGATTGCAGGCTCAGTTCATCCCTAAATGTCTTTGAGGATATGGTGTAATTAACTCAATAAAAAACAGGAATTAAACCTAGAACTTCTCATTTTGGCTGCATTGCCTTAACCATAGGATTTGTTTTTTCTCTGTAGAAATGTGTTTTTAAAAGAAATTTCTAAACAGGAAAAGGAATGCTGTCTGTCAAGTTCCAGCAGCTTCAAATCTAATAACTTCTAAACATGATCTTTACTGTATCAGTTCTCCTGATTTTATTTCTTTATTAAGGTCAGGCTTCAAAACTGTTGTACCTTCACTTGAAGAGTTGTAACTGTGAGACTGGACTTTTTTTTAACAATATGCCCTTTCTTCTTAAACTAGAGTCTGACATAGTAAACATGTACCTGACTATACACCATGTCCATGAAAATAAAGTGCTTCAAGAGCAATTTTATTTTCACCGAGCTTAGAAAATGTTTAGAATGTGTCTTTTCACGATTGTCTCTTTTACTTTTCTGTTTTAATAGTATGATTGTTCTTATCCTTAGGGTGTTCCTGGCATCAAAGGAGAGAAGGTCAGTTATTTACACCATATTACGTGAAATGTTTATTGGTCATCAACAGTTTGTGTGTATCTTCCCTGCTGGGAAACAGTTCCTAACATCTTGATTCATGGGAAACAGAAAGTTTACTTTCTGGAAGAAGCAGCTACAAACCTTGGTGCTGCATCTGAACTAGTTGCATTCACTCCAGGTTACAAAACAGTTTTAATTTTTTTTCCCCCTTCAATTATTGTTATTGCATGTAATGAATGTAACTCTTTCAAGTACACAAAAAAATAAGCCTCATCCCCAAACATCATATGAATTCATATGGAAATCTGTAGATGCGCTAAAGAGCATTTTAAAGGGATAAAAAGTACTAAAACAATTGAAGATCAAGACTGGGGGTGAGTAACGTAGCTACGTCAGAAGTGAAGACTGCTCCTAACAGAGAACTGGAATGCCTGAAAAAAGTATATTCTGTTTAATAAAATCTTTTTTAAAGGTAGAACTATCCATAGCTGACAGTTGCCATCATTATGCAACTCTGATGTTGCTTATTTCCCTACAAACTGTATTAGAAGATTTGTTCCACTACAGAGTTCTGTAGCATAACTTTTTATCTTCTTTTTTATCTAATTGTCCAGGGATGCCCTGCAGAGGTGTATGACCAAGGGTATGGTGCAAAAGGTGATCCTGGATTGCCAGGAATGCCTGGACTTCAGGTAATTCAGAATTAATTCAGAATATGAGATAGATAGAAAAATTTTATATGTATAATCTCTCTATGCAAAACACATTATATATATAATATGTGAGCATATATATATAAGTATTTTTATATTCAATGTAATTTTCATATATTATATTTTTTACATAAAGTATTTTTACAATTATCTCTCTAATTTCTAAACCAGAAAATAGTTGTGTCTTAAAAAAAATTATTAGCTTTATATATTCTGTTTAATAGAATATATTCAAAGTCTTTATTTTGACTTTACAAAATAGAGTGTACCAAGACAGCAGTAATTAATTTTGCCATCAGAACCAATAATGTGCATTATGTGTTAGTAAATTGAGATAGGGAAGTCAGGTTGCAGACAACAGTACTTTAGAAATGGAGGAAAAAATTGTCATAGATTTAGGGGTTTATACCTACATATAGAATAAAATAGAATAGTTCAGTTGAAGGGCACCTACAACAACCAACTAGTCCAACTGCAAAAATTCCCCATGAAGTAAGATTGAACAGATCAGAGCTGCTCAACATCTAGAGTACTAACAGAAGACAGTATGATACATATTTAAAAAATCAAGATCAATAAAAGAAGGCAGAGCAGACTGTTCTTTTGACAGTTACAGTAAGTGGAGGACATTAAATTTAAAGTAAAATAAAGCATTTTTTTTTACATTTCTTTGAAAATAAATCTTTAATGTACAGAATTTATTGCATAGAATATTCAAAATATTAAGGCTTATTAGGGCTAGCAATAGGACTATATGGATTATGAGAATATCCACAGCTAAAAAGGACATATATCCTCACTTGAGTAGTTTAGTTTTAGAATGGATATATTTTCTCATGTTTCAAAACATCCGCCAACCAATGAAGGAGTGAGGAGAAATTATACTTCCGTGTAATCCTGAGGCATGAAAAAGAAATCTAGAGACAGTGCTGCTCCTGTTTGTTGTTTGTTCATTGAATTTAGCCTTCTGGTTTGCTCATAATCTTGCAGGAGATTTATTCCTGTTTCTCTTTTAACACGCAGGGTGCCCAGGGTGCTCAAGGATATCCCGGAGAACTTGGACCACAGGGCCCTCCAGGACCTTCAGTGAGTATGAATTTATGTTGCAGGTGTTACTTTAAACTATTATTTTCCCCGAAACCTATGGAATTACACAAATGCAATTACCTGCCTCTCCTGCACACTTCTGATTTTTTTTTCAGTTCCCTTTGATTATTTTTATGCAAGATAATTTCCATGTTTTCAAAAGCATAAATTTTAATTTTCAAATAATTACCCATAAATTCACTTTAAATACTAATGTGTATATCTGAGAGATGGATATGCTTGCAACTAGACTGTATAGGCATTCTGTCACCCACTCACGACAAATTGTGATTGTAAAGGTGGAAGAAATAATAAAAAAAGTGATATAATTAATGTGAAAATTGGGTTCTTCAAAATACCTATTGATGATGAAGGCTGTAGTTTTTATAATAAGGAAAATTTTTTTTTTCCTATTTTATAGGGCATGCCAGGAAAAGCAGGACCTCCTGGACCTAAGGTAGTCTCAGATTGGTAATAAAAACGAAAAATTCCTATTATGCGTAACATCAATTAACTCGTTTTGTAGGTGTTTTTAAATTAAAAAAAATAACATTTGGGGATTTTTTTACAGGGTCTTATGGGACAGAAAGTAATAGGAAACAAAGGAAGAAAGGTAATTGTATAAAATGCTTTAAACATTTTTAAAGTTTTATTTCTGTTTTCTGCTTTTTCTGATATACTATGGTGAAATGTGTGGAAGTCTTATTGGAAAATGGAATCGTGGCAATTAATATCTAAGGACAAAGTGTTTTCACATAAGAGACAATGATATAAACTTTCTGATAGAAGGGTAGAAACCTAAGAGGAGCCAGTAGTAAATATTTGCTAACACATAGCATTCAATTCATTTATGCATCATTTGCAGTGTTGCTAGATGCTTATCTAAGCACGTAAACACTGGTAAATATATAGCATCTTTAGACTCACAACTTCTTATGGCCAACATCTTTTTGGTGTCAGCCTTGATGATGCTAGAAAACCTCCCAGATTTTGAATAGAAGTTGGATGACTTGTCATCCATGTTCTTACTTTCTATCTCATAATTGACAATAGCTAGAAATTGGTTGGACTCAATGATCTTAGAGGTCCCTTCCAACCTAGATGATTCCGTGATTCTATAAATGACTAAAAATATATATATTGTAGGAGGACCAGTGTAGTCAGTCTGAACGTCCTTAAAGGATCCTTTCAAGAGGTTGAGGCACCTCACAGTTGTGCTACCTGACCTGCACAGGTCAAGGTGTGAACTGAAACAGCTCTATCTGACAGTGGGATTGGTTTTAACTTTGTACTTACTACCAGGAATGTGCTTGAAGTTTTCTGGGACAATTTCTGTAAATAGAACTGATCATTCATTAGCATCAGCTCAGATGATCATGGAGCATCTTTCTTCATTATGAAAGAGTGATGCATTCTTTGCTGTTACACTGCAAATGCGCACAAAGGCATTCCACTGGCTTAAAATCACTGGAAATTGTGGATATTGTTTTGTTGAGCTCCGCAGGAGAGATCGCATTTAGGACTTTCCATGTTCTAAAAGATCCTAAGTGAAAAAGTGTACTGCAATATTCATGTTAAGGATGCATGAAAACTGGTTTTGTCTATCAGCACTACGTTACAGTTGTCCCCCTGTAATACACAGACTGCAGTTATGAGGATGTACCAAAGGCAGTTAATGTATTTTATTGATTGACTTAATCCAGTTGAGAGAAAAATTATCATCAAGGAGATATTTTTATTTGATTTGCAATTAAAATGGTTGTATAACTTTTAAACAAATAATATTAAAATTTTAAGTCAATTCTAGATGCTTTAACAGAAATCAGCATATGCACTTTTATGCTTCTCAGCTAGGAGAAGGTTTTTATAGTAGTTGTAAGTCTTCCATGTGCCTTTTTTAATTGGAAGATAAATGGCAAGCAAACAGAAATGATAACTTTATTAACAGCTAAGTGTAATGACACAATTTTTTTTCACAATGTCAAAAGTATAGCAATAGTAATTTCAAATAATAAAACCAGACTGCTTGTAATGTCTCTATTTTTCTTTTTTCTTTCAAGGGTGACACTGGATTAACTGGACCCCCTGGGCCACCAGGAACCGTTATTGTGACATTAAGCGGACCAGACAACATGACGGTAGTAAAATTGTTAAACATCACGTTCAGATTAGCCATCTTCCTACCTTTTAAATTGAGAGGACATCTTCATCTTCATTGTTCCCATAGCATTTCCTTTTACCCATCCTAACATTGTTCAGACTCGTTTAGTTAGATACTAAGCTCTTCTTAGAGGTTGTCTGTGTGGCCAGCTCAGCTGAGGGCTGTGTATTCACATTGCACATCTGCACGATGCCAGTGGAATGCTAAATGCTTATTAGTAACCCACCTGCTCTGGATCTCTGAGGACAGGAAAAGTAAATCACTTTTAGCTTCACCAAATCAACATGGGTTTTCTGAATGGGTATCAAAGCCACAGCTGTGCTGACCCCGGGCCTTGTTACTGAAAATATCAGGACTGAGCTGCCAGAGTTTCACAAAAGCTTGCAACACATTCCTGTACATTTCATAGCTTATTTTCTCATTGTTTTTACTGGAACTTGAGTAGTCTTGGAAAGTGTTGGAAAAACAATGACTACTGGAGAAAGGAAATACTCTGATTCAGCTTTCATTTTAAGTATTGCTTTCTGAATTAAAATTCTTGCATTTTGTCCTTATGTAGAACTTAAGCAGCAGTAGTTGATACACAGTTTTAAGTCTTCACATATTAACAGAACAGGACTCCAACCTGTTCCTGACTGTTTTTCTTATTTAATTTGCATCTAATCCATGGAGTTATCACAAATCTCTCTCAATTGTGTGCTAAGATAAAAAGTAAATTTTGCATTGAGACTGTATTGAGGAGGGAAGAGAAAGGTTGCAGAAGCAAGGTTCAGCTTTCAGACACGGCAGCTCTTCCCTGTTTAAGTCAAATATGGACAACCTGGAGCACTTCCCAGTCACAGCTGTGGCAGTTTATCATGGGGGAATGGTAATTTTTAAGAGACATTGGGCATTAAGGTTTTAAACCCTCTCAAAACTCCTTACATAAATAGTTTGGGGCATGACTCTAACAAAGTAATAATTTGGCAGTCCATATTACAATAACATCAGGATGTGGCCCAATCTATAACAGTACTACACAGCAGGGTAATCTACTCTTGAGCCCACTTAGGCATGGATTGCATGGGTAGCCCCTGCATTTATGTATTGGAGGTAACTGTAGCTCCAGTGAAGCATCTAAGGTTTATTTTGTTTTTTGCTTGTAATTTTTTGCCATTTCTGGGGTTATTTACTCCAGTCCCCTTACATGCAATCACAGTAAGCTGTTTTGAACTCTCCGTGTTCAGAAATATGTGCAGAGCCAGTTTCTTTTTCAAATATCCTAGACTTAGGTGAGAGTGCTGACAAGAAGTTTCTGTTTCTTAGTCATTTAAGTAAAACCATCTCTGCTTAAAGAAGCTTGCTGATAACATAGGGATTTCCTGTTTGTACACCTTGAGTGTTATGGCGAGCACAGAAAAATCCAAGAGACCATACTAAATTTTGATTTTCTATATAATAGGACTTGAAAGGAGAGAAAGGAGAAAAAGGATCAAGAGGGCTTCCAGGGCCAATGGGGTTTACAGTAAGTGACCAGAAATAAATCTTTTAAATCCAAATGATGTTTGGGCAGCACCACCTAGTAAATGCTTCTCTTTAGAGTCCAGTATTTACACTGCTTACTCCAACCTTTAATGAATAGAATAGAATACCTATTAATAGCATTCTAACTGTGCTATATTTTTATGCTTTTTTAAAAAGATAACAAAATTATAAAAGATATATTTAATTTAGAAAATGTGATGCTTAAAACATGCGTATCTTGAGGGCATTGTTGTTACAGGGGCCAGATGGTGATTCTCAAAGTGAAAAGGGTGACCGAGGAGAACCTGGAGCACAGGTAACCACAAACAATTGAATACACGTTAGTCTTTTCTGCAAATCAATTTTGCACTGGTCTTGCACTCCAGTTTTTATTTTTCTTAGTGAACCAAACTAGAGAGGTGAAAATCAAATAATGGTTCATATAGGCTCACATACCGTAAGTACATGATGTAGAGGTCAGCTGATGGTGGATGCACTTCTGGGGTTTTTTTGCTGTAAAGGTTCTATTGTTGAAACTTAGGGAAAAGAAAAAAAAAGTGCTCTTCTGAGCAAATACTGGCTTTATAGTGCCAGTGTCAATGTAGAAGAGAATTAAAAACATTGGGTTTACTTAAGGCAGCAGACTTACCTGTTAGTTGAGCATACTAATTTATGTGGAGACATGGAGAAATTTTTCATAAGAGAGTTATTCTGTTAACAGAATAATCTGAGGAAAAAAAAAATCATATGTTTACTTTTAAAAGAACACGCATTAAAATATAATTTACTTGTGTATATCTAAATTTTGCAGGGAATTTAAATTACTACTTTGCATTCAAAGCTTCAAATAAAAACTAATCAATGAAAGATGCAGGTTCTTAGTAACTCAAACTGTATGAATTAATAACAGTTTACCAATATGTAATCGGGGTACAACCATTAAGTATTCAAAAAAATCAAAATGTTCTGGGACATTTTCTGAACAAAATGTACTGATTCCAAATACATTTTGGAAGCAATATCAGGAAAAAAAATATTCCAATGAAATATTTAATTCAGTCCAAACATATATATTTATATACTTTTCCATACTTCTTGTAGTTGTAATGAATTTTCTTCCACAAGGAAAGGTAGCCAGACAAGACCAGTACTATCTGTAGATTGTGCTTTCTTCAATTGGATGGTGCTATAACAATGATGATGCTTTAGAGCAACTTGTCATTTTTATTCTTCCTATACATTATGGAAATTTTAGTTTCTATTTGAGTCTCTGGTGTAGAGTACTAAAAGTTTTGTACTTTACTTTTTTGTAGAGTTTTATGAACATTAGTTATGATTAGAAACAATAAACATTGGAAAAATAACCTTAAAGGCTTTTCAAAATTTATAAAGACCTAAAATACAGTTATATGCACAGCATTTAGTTGTCTCTGAATGCAATGTACCCTTTTTTGAACTTCCTAATTTATTTTTTTCCTAATTTTATGTTTTTGCTTTGTAGGGTACACCTGGAAAAGAAGGTGCCCCAGGTCCACCTGGCTTACCGGTAATGAAGGAAGCCTTCTATACATTTTCTAAGTGATAGTCTTCTGTTTATCTCAGTCATATCTTCCTCTCACAGCTTTTTCCCGTTGCAGAATGTGTTGGCAAATGTTGGTTTGCATACACTGTGACACATTTCCTTTCACACAGCTGGCTTTGTGTGAGGACACACCATGTCCTTGGAGATATATACAGGAGAGAGAAGCTCAGTTCATAGATGTTGTCTGTTCCGTTTAAAATAAAAATAGCTGTTGCTTGTGTTTGAGACACCGTTTAAGTTATGAAAAATTAATTCTACTGAGTTTAGTTCTGGCTAGTCATATTGAAATTTTTGCAAAAGTGTTACACCTTCAGCATAAATCAAGAAGCAAAATGAATAATTTTTAATCACTAGAATCAAATATATTCTTTTACAAAGAAAAGTTATCGCCAAGGTCACAGCTACCTTGCCGTGAAACAAAATGACTGATTTATTTTAAAACTGTCATCTTGTCATCATATAGTTCTTAATTTTAGTTAAAAAATTTTTAGTTAAAAAATTTTTTATCCTGTTTGTGTACTAATTTAAAAGCTGAAGTTGTTCAGATGTATTTGGAATACTGTATTCAATTGCTTAAATATAAATTCTTCGATATTTATTTCACTTCCACTTTTACGACATCATTAGGGTCACAGTAGCCTTACAAACACCTTATCGAAATTCTTAGTGTCAGAATAGCCCATTCCACGTATCTCTTAGTTATCGCCAAGGTCACAGCTACCTTGCCATGAAACAAAATGACTGATTTATTTTAAAACCGTCATCTTGTCATCATATAGTTCTTAATTTTAGTCAAAAAATGGCATCTTTTATCCTGTTTGTGTACTAATTTAAAAGCTGAAGTTGTTCAGATGTATTTGGAATACTGTATTCAATTGCTTAAATATAAATTCTTCGATATTTACTTCACTTCCACTTTAACGACATCATTAGGGTCACAGTAAACTTACAAACACCTTATCAAAATTCTTAGTGTCAGAATAGCCTGTTCCATGTATCTCTAAGACATTGTCTTCATCATACCAAAATGACCTTTGCCAACAGTCTAAACACAGGCCAGTCTGACAAAGAACATGGGGTGACAGACCGCAAAGTTCTACTATCTCAGCTAAACTTTGTGTCATGACAAAGACATGTCATTGCTCTGGTCCTATTTCAGCTTTACTAACTAGCAGCGAATTCAGCTGCATAAGCCTCCAAGAAGTGCCTTTTCCTTGCATGTACACACTTGCAGAAAGCCTTAGCAGCAGCCTGCACTATTTTCTCTCCTGGTCTTGCTTACAACTCTTGAGATTGGCACCATCGTGCAGACTGACCAAGTTCTGGGAAAGGGAGTTACTGAATGTGAAAATCTTACATTGTGTTCAGTTTCTCCCCTTTCAGAAATAGTAGTTTGCAGAGGTAGAACAAATCAGAGCCTGCTCCACTTTGGGGTGGGTGGAGTGGGCTGGTACAAAGGCGGGTTTGGATAAGAGACCTGCAGTATTTCCCACAGACACGGAACTGCACCCAAACCGTGTCCTGCCCTGGGATTTCTTCCCCTGGGCAAGTCGCCCTCACTTGCCATTGCCATGAAAGATTGAAGCTTTCCGTCTTAGGTATTACTGATGGCTGTGCTAAAAG